TTATAGTTCACATTCTAGCGCTGCATAGCTGTCTTTTCCAATTCCAACGAGACTTATTCGCCTGCTCTCTTTTGGCTAGAAATGGTACAGCGAGTGCTGATCGCCACGGCGAGTCTCTACGGCTGCTTGTTACGAGTGACTGCACTTTGAAAACAATTAATGCGAGCTGAGTTAAAAATTTTTTTTTTTAAAAAGCAAGCAAACAACAGCTGACAGTGGGCACTGTGACTGGGTACTATACATATGGGATGTTAATTACACTGTTAAACACTGGGCGACTGGCCGGGCTATGACTAATGCGAAAATTACCAACAGTGTCTATTGATAGGCGACCTAATTGGGAACGTGGTTCTAGTGAAATGCCCACGACTGTACTCACTTCCATAGGATTTTCCAGAAGCAGCCAAAGTTGCTGCCATTGGGCACTTCGCCCGCATACGAGACGGTCATGTTGCAAGCGTTCCAGCGGTCTGCCGCTTAGGTTGTTAGAATATTGTTATTGTTGTTGCACACTTTTGATTGAGTCCAATTTTGTTTTGGCTAAGTTAGGCGAATTTGATTCGGCTACGCGTCATTGACAGCGGCATCGAAGTCGACGTCGCCGCCGCATTGACGGCTGTGTCTAGCAGCCGCTCCACACCCCCAGCTGGCGCTCAGCCTGCTTCACTGGCGGCTCACTAGTTGCTGTTGTTGTTGTTGCTGCTGCTGTTGGTGTTATTGTTGTTGCTACATTAAAGCAGGTGAATTTGTCTTCAGCTGAAACACAATAAGTGAGAGCGCCAAGTGCGACACACACGTTCAGATAACTGTAAAATTATTCACCAACACAAGTGCAGCTCATGCAAATACACTGCAAACAAAATAATTTTATGAAATATAACAATAACAACAAACAAAACAAAATTAAATATAGCTTTAAATAAATTCCAACACGTTCCGAAGAATTGGACTTTACATTTCGGTTTATATATTTGGTTGCTGCTTTTTATTATTTCTTATTTATAATATTATACTACATTTTATTGCTCTTTTGCGTTTTTAATGCACTTTCAGTTTGAGTGAAATTTGTATTATTTTATGTTTGAAATAATTTACTAGTTTTCAATTATTATTAATAAAACAGGTTGTTTATTTTTGTGCTTTTGTCTTGTGCCTTGAGCCCTTGTTGGCCTTTGTCTAGTTATCAGTACTTTAGACACTTAAAGATCACACACTTAAGGACAGGATTTCCCCACACACAAAGCACTACACACACACACACACACACACACACACACATGCACACGCGAGCAACTTATATGGAACGCGTTTCTGGTGCCTCATTGTGTTGATGGAGACTTTTTTAGGTATTTTCTGCTGAAAACCTTGAGATTGTCGAAAATTTTGGCAGTTGCTTTTATTTTGTATATATGTATACATTTCTGCCAAGTCAGCGCTGAATTTGTACTGTACAATTCGCAATTCGCCTGGGGTTTTTTAGTTGATGTTTCGTCTTATGTGAGCTTTTTATATTGATTAATCGAGCGCCTTCGGCTGGGATAAATTGATCAGATGTGTTGCTTATGTTGTATATATTTGTGGAATTCACTTGAATTCGAATTGAGTGTCGCAAACCTGTTGCCCTGCAGTTATATTTACGCTTTGTCTCTACTCAGGTATCTTTCGAGCACCTTAAAAGTTGCAAATATTTGCATAACATATAACTGACCGTCAATATTCATTGCTAAAAACTGGTTCCCAGTGGACGCAATTTTCACTAAGGCGCGTTAATTTCGTTGATAAACACACCGGTGACAGTATCTAGTCGGACTCTATCTATTAAAATGTACAACTCGAATAGTTATAGCCACTAACAGCCAACAGCTAACAGCTAACGGCTAACCGGTTTCCTGGGCTTGGATCTGTGCCCATGCATATAGCATATAGCATCTTGAATTTAGTCACGCCGCCTTTTAATTGCGCCTTCCCAGCTGCATTGACAGCAATTTAATCATTAGCTTAAACCAACTCCACCCACTGCCTCTTGACACACTTACAGCGAGGCTCTAAATAATATATATATATACATATATATTGTTCTCTACAGATCCGCTTCTAGTTAAAAGTTACCCAAACTGAGCTAATGCATAGAAGAGAATTTTCATTGGTTTTTTGCTAAGTGGTAATAAATATTTTATGAGTTTTTCTATAACTTTAGGGGCAGGCACGTGCCAACTACCAAATTAGCTATGAATATTAAGAATTACCAGCTATAAGGCATAGCCTTATCTATGATAATTGTTTTTCTCAAGTTGAGTTCTAACCAATGACCCCATAAGTAAAACAAAATAGCTCTGCAGTTAAAGATAAGCGACTAAACTGTCCCCAAGATGTCAGTTGAAGACAGTTAAACACAACGTGATAGATCAACAACAAATTCTCGGCTTGACAGCAGCTCTTGAAGTTGAGATAAAACTGGCGTCTTGCGTAGGCCAAATTGCACTATGTTGAGCAAATAGCGTATACGCCCCCCCGCCTGTGCCGCCCCAAGCAAAGAAATGTTGGCCATGGCCTCAAAGTAAACGCTGACGGCGACGTTGATCGATGACGAATTTTATTCAAATATATGCCAACGCGATCCGCCGCGCTTTTCACTTTCTTTGACGTAAAAGACGACGTCGTCGAGTCGCCCAAAATGATCACAATTTGTTTACACAATGACTGAAACTGACTTTAGTCTCGAATTGTAGTTGCTGTCAAATACGCTTTATATGCCCTTTTTTCCCACTCGAAATGTCGAAAACATGCACACTTGCACTTTTTCTTTAGCCGCGCTGTCTGGCGTTGGCTTTGAACAGTGGGAGTTTTCAGCTTGATTAGCACACAATAAAAGCTGTAGATATATCTACGTTTGGCTTGTTATTTTCCATAAATATAGTAGGTATTTTTGACGCATTAATTTGGCTTAATTAATGAAAATTAACGTGCACATTAAGCTGTTGAAATTTATAGTTGTAAATGTGGTCATTAAAATTGCGTTTTTTTATAAGGCGCCATATTAGGCAAAAAATATTTGAATTGCTTTTTAGTTACATTAAACTATTCCGTTTTTATTAATTTTCATAAATGACACCATATCATTTATAACTTGTTATTTTTTATTTATACATTGTTTTATATAAGCTTGTCATGTTGTTACATTATCGCATGTAATTGCTTAATTGCCATTGGCTTTCAATTTCTTTTATTACTTATTGCTTTTCTAATGTCTGTCCCGTCTCTGATGTCAGTTTTCAAGCTTATTTCACATTTTCAATTGAAAAATTTCATCCCAATTTGGTCAGTTTCGCGTTCTGTAAATGCCGAGCAATACCTTAAAGAGCTGCTTACACTCAGAACTGTTTATGCTTAGCTCGAATGCCATTACGTGCCGCAGACACGCGCTTACGATTACAGCCACAGATACAGATACTCCTAGTCAATAGATACACGCATCTGCTACGTGTATCTGTATCTGTATCTGTATCTGTAACTGCCGATTGGGCTACACAGCGTTGCGGTGCGCGTACTTTAAGCTGACCAGTTTTTAATTCATCTTACGCGATCTTCCATATATCTCACATGTATATATAAATATATATTTACTGGAGGAGCCACTGCACTTGCGCATATTTTCCGTATAACTTCACATAACGCGTATTTATATTTTTTCAAATATTGTGGCGTGCGTGTATATAACACACTTCTGTTTAGACATTTATTTGTTGATTATACAAAAAAAAAAAAAAAAAAAAACAGCAACAAAAAGCGTCTGTTTTTTCTTTTTTTTTAATTGTATTTCGGAGCTAGCCCGTCGCTGGGTTTATTGTTCCGCACGATCAACGAGGCGAGTGAACAACGAGAGGTTTGGGAGCTGCCAAAGCGGCTTTAGCTTCAGCTTTGTAACATACCGACGACGGGTTTATCGCTGGCTGCTCGTTCCGATTCCGATCTCGATTTCGATTCCGAACGGCAACGGCCACAACCTGACGGCACTCTAAACTCAAGTAAACTGCGCTCCAGACCAGAGCACATGCGGCTCTTAACTCACATTTTCAGTGTTGAGGCTCAGTGAAAAACGTATTTTTTTACATTTTTTTTTTGTTGGCAACAGGTAGAAAAAACTTACGCTCACGCTTCGCCGTGAAGGTGTGCGTGTATGTGAGTGTATGCCAAGCGCAGGTGAGCACTGGCGCTCTCTTTGCGAGTGTGTTTGGAAATGTGAGTGTGTGTAGGTGTGTGTGTGGTATGCTTTTGTGCAGCTTGTGCATCAGCTGTTTTTACTTTATAAGCCAAAAATCGACAGAGATCGCCAGAGAGCGCTCAACTGACCAAGTTGGAGCTACAGAGAGTGAGAGGAAGCGAGAGAGTGTGTGAGTGAAAAAGAGCGTAACATATAATGAGAGCGGAAGAGTTGTGCTTAGAGCCAGGGCAGCAGCTTCACATTTAAATGAGCATAACTATTTTCTTAAGAACATATGCAACAATTATTTTGTGAAAATGTGACTGACAAATTCTTTCATAAGTTTTAATGATTTCAGGAGTAATTCACGAAAATACAAGTCCCAATACATAGCCCACGAACAAATTTATTTATCGTACGATATGCATATGCTATAATAGGCAATATGTTATTTTGCGTAAGTCTATATTTGTGTATAAAAAATTTGCACTCTTTTATGGTTTTCCATCACACTGTTGTATAAAAGAATTAGTCCAGGCTGGTCTCATTGTCGAGTCTTTGATCTGCCTATTATTGGGCAGCACTGTTATTGTCGGGCACAAAAGTGTAGCATGCTCTTAGGCAAACTTTTAATAACATTCAAATTATTGACTTAATCGCCAGAATAAAGTAAATAAAACTTTAAGCTGCTTCCTGAAAAAATTACGTTGGCATTTCGATTTCAAAAACTATATTTATAAAAAAAAATCTTGTAAAGCTAAACAGACATTGCTTATAAGAAAACTACCCAAGTAAATAACAAGATTATTCTAATTTTACTCCATACAACTCATGCTTTGAGCGCATTTGATATCTCCGGCCGCCGTATCTGATACCGCAGACCGTGCTCCATGTAGGTGAAAGGTGGATTCGGTTGGGTCATACAGAAATACAGACCTTTGGCATTGCTCGGGTAGATGAGGCCAATGTTAAGTGTGTTCTCAAAACTGCAGTCGCCCTGCCTGAACTTGCCCCAGTTTTCGCATTTGGTGGCAGGTATCATGACGCCCTCGATGAGTGCCTCCATGAAGAGCACAAACGGATACATATGACTGCAGATCTTGCTGTCGCAGCCTGGTTGCAGCTTCTTGCGCGGAAAGTAGCCAATGCCATTGGGATAGATATCCACATGACCCAGTGGCACACGAACACCAAACACATCACCCTCACCGTGCAACACCACAACGCGCCCCGCCACCGCTTGTCTGACCAGAATGTCTGTGGTGCGACACATGGTGGCCGGATCGATGGCAATCAGTTGACCCACCTGCTGCTTACTGCCCTTGGCATATAAATCAGCGCCCAATGCGGCTATATTGGCGCCCACCGAGTGCCCTGCCAGGGTAATATCCTGCGCCGCAATGCCGGCATCCGTCAGGGCGCTCAACAGCTTGTATATGGAGTAGCCATGCACGGAGAGGTGATGACGCACTGTATAGTAAAGTTGGGCCACATGTGTGGCAAAGTCCACCACAATGACATTGAGATCTCGACGCGTTGTCTGCAGCAGCGTCAAGTGTTCTTGAACGCTGAAATAGCTATCGGCCGTGTGGAAGGCGTTCACATAGATTAGAGTCTTGCGCTGCGGATTGATATCGAAGTCGCGCAGCTCTGGCATAGACTTAATGGGCAGCTGGACGCTCTGATTGGTGATGGTCATGACATGCAGACGCGCATCGCTGGGATTGATGCCCTCAAAGAGCGCCATCACACCCTCATCGACCGGCGCATCGCCTGATTTGGTTTTGGGGGTATTATTAGAGATCTGTTTGCCGCTGCTATCGTTTGTTTTAACTTACAAAAAGCGCGCCAGCCGCGGTTCAGTTGCTGCGTTAACAGCTCCAGATTGTGTTTTTGTATGCGATCAATGCTTGCGGACGCTTCTAACTGTTGCGTATGGCAGAAAAAGATTAGGCATAGCTGCAAGCCCCATCCTGTCCAGAGCTGGGCGCGTTGTCTGTCTGTGACCCGTTGCATCGCTTAACAATTTGCCAAGCTCAGCGCACAGCTGGCCACTTTTATAGCCAAGCCAAGAGTGAGTGGAAAATGTTTATCGCTGCTCTGGAAGCTGCTTATCTGCCGCAGAATTTCAGTTTGAGCGGCGGTTTCTATTTCGGTTTTAACTTAATTTGCATTCTGCTGACTGCAGCACGTCCGAAACAACTCAATTGGATTCGAGCTGATGCTCACTGTCTGGCATTTGTCTGCGATTCCGCCCCAGACCCACTCAAGATCGGGCAACTGTTGCCAGATAAGCGTTTTTGCCGCTGCACGTTTCGCAGCACCCAATGATAAGCCCGGTGAGGGAGTGGGGAGGGGGGTTTATATCTATAAACAGTCTTCAGTCGATTGATTATCGTGGATCGTGCCTCAATAAGAAAACGCTTGTTTTGGGGCTGCTTAATCTGATTCTTTTCATTGAAGTTCTTTTTACTCTTGATTATGTAGTATAGTTATCGATAATAATGTATTTTGATGGGTGCGAAAAGACAACTAGGTGCTAAATGTAAATTTTACTATATAATTATATATATATATATATATCTATTTTTTTAAATCTTTTCTTGCTGTAAATTTGACCAGTGCTCGTTCGTAGCGTGCGTCTTAATTCAATATTTACGCGAATGAGGTAGCGATGGCTGTTATTGGACTCCCGGAGAGTTACCAGTAAATATGACTAAAACTACGTGAGTTTTTATTTCAACGACATTTCTCGGAACGGAAAAAAATAAATTAGAGTTTATGTTTTTAAAATAAAACTTAAACTTTTAAAATTTATTTGTAACGAACACAAAAAGCATTTTAAAATAATAAATAAATTGAGAAATCGACTAAAAATAAACATTTTGGTAGTCAAGAATACTTTCTGCTATGCTTCACTGGCTCCATCAAATCTTATACGGATCCGCACTGCCCCTGGTTGCAGCTGCTCTCCGATTCGACTAAAATTAGCTCTGCTGTGTTCTATGTTTAATTTAGCTACTTTTTTATGTGATTCTGCTTGGATCGATGCAGATCGATTAAAACTGTAGACCGGCCTGAACCTCAGCCATGATGTTGGCGGATTTCTGCAGCTGCTCGACTTCGGTGTTGGTGAGAATCTGCTTCACCACGGAGGTGACACCGTTGGCATTTAGTACGCAAGGCAGCGACAAGAACACATCCTTATCGATGCCATGTTCACCCTGTAAATAGAGAGATTTGATAATTAGTAAAGCTTTTTCTTAGTGTCCACCCTAATTCAGACTCACCAAAACGGATGTGGAGACGGCTGCCACGCTGCTGGTGTTGCGCAAGATGGCCGAGGCCAGGGAGGCGGTGCTGAGGCCAATGGCCCAGGAGGTGTAGCCCTTTAGCTTGATGACCTCGTAGGCTGAATCGACGACCTGTTTGTGCAGCTCATTCCATTTCTCTGGATCCTCGCCGGTGCCAATGGTGGGGTTCAGCTCACGCAAGCGCACGCCGGCAATGTTAACGCCGGACCACACGGGCACAGAGCTATCGCCGTGCTCGCCAATGATCCAGCCGTGGCAGGAGGTGGGTGCCACGCCCAGACGCTGCGACATCAAGAAGCGGAAGCGGGACGAATCCAAATTGGTGCCACTGCCAATGACGCGATTCTTGGGCAGACCAGACAGCTTCCAGGCCACATAAGTCATAATATCCACGGGATTGGACACCATCAGCAGAATGGTATCGGGACTGTACTGTGAGCGTAAAGAGTTAACGATTAGTTTGAGCTCTGAAGCTTATATATCTTCCGTTGACCTACCTCCACCAGCCTGGGTATGATGTGCTTCAGAATGTCGGTGTTGCGCTGCACCAAGGACAGACGGGATTCGCCCTCCTTCTGGCGCACGCCGGCGGTGACAATGCACAGACGCGAGTTGGCCGATGCGGCATAATCGGTGCTGGCTGTGATCTGTGGGTTCTTCAGGAAGTTGGAGCCATGCTGCAGATCCATGAGCTCACCTTGCAGCTTATCGGCGCAGACATCGATCAGGCAGACCTCCTTGGAGACGCCCTGGGCCAAAATGCTGAATGCGCTGGCCATGCCCACCATGCCAATGCCCACAACGGTGATCTTATGTCCAGAGCTGGGCAGAACCTCAGCCACTTGAGCGAGCAGACTATCCTTTACGGCGGCCATGGCTAGAAGAGGGTAAACAATGGTTAGTCGCGACAGTTCTCACTGGTGAGTTGGGAGGGAGGGGGTCGGGAACATTTATGGAGCATGTCACGTGCTCGTTAATCAATGACAAATTGGCAATACTTGTGCCAAAGTAAAACTAGAAAATCTGGGACACTCACAAACATACATACACGCACGCACAGACCTATGTGTCGGCGTTGGTTAACCTTCACGAAGGTCATATTTATATAAATTTGCCGACTGCCCAACACGCAGCTCGCCGAGTTCAAGAAATAACTTATACGCAACATTGCCCGAAAAAAAAGAAATAAAAAATAATTTTCATTTTCCGCGCAGTTGTCATTTTTATATGGATCCCACTTGTGATTGTTCGCACTTGTGACAATTTCAATGCGTCGTTGTCTACATGGCCAGTAATCAAGCTAATTAACGCCTAATGGGTAAAAATATTTTTATTATCAAAAAAACCTTCAAGAAAATTGCGACAAGTTTTTCGGATTAACAGCGGGGCAAACTGTAACATAGATTGCAGAAAAAAACACAAAAAAAAAAAAACAAATGGTTCCAGAAAACAATTTGCAATAAATATTCCTTATCGATTGATAACTCATTGTGATTGCTCAATTAATTCAACAGTAACAGGGCATTAGGTTGCCCACTTCAAATGAGGAAGTTTGGCCATACAGGCATACAGGCATATATAATGACGTATGGGTGAGGTTTACTATGTCGAACCCGGGTTGATCGTGTGCCAATATTTACTTTAGATTTCAGATAAGATTGGGCACATATTAGTGCAATTGCAGTGCCCGGGCAGCTGCTTATCTATATGAAAATATTTATATAAACATTATTAGCTATTTTTTGCTATCTACGCACGTTTTTAATTAGAAAACCGCACGACATGCTGAGAATAACTTTTGACCTTACCCTGAACTTGAGAGTTTTCTAATTAAATTGCGGCTTTTATGTAGAAACCTATGAGTTATTTAAAGTATAAATAAGTAAATGCTAAACTAAAAGTACACATGGCAAATGCATTATATCAGAACGAGTTAGTCGAGTGTTCTGAATTTGCAAATACCCTACGGTTGCTTGGGCCAAGGATCAAAATATAACAATAAATGTGATATACTTGACTTTTGCTCGACTGTTGATGTAGATCAGGAATATTTATACTCTATAGTGCTCGACAAGGGCCCTTGTCTTTTTTGTGAATGAATACTTAAACCCTTTTATTCATTCGAAAAGAATACAGGGTAGAAAAGTTATATGCTCTAGGTAATTTCCAGTGTATTTTATCTAAAATTTTTATATGATTCGTCACAGAGTAAAGTTAGATAATATATTTATTATAGACTATTTGAGCACAATATGAGATCATTGCAAATTTGTTCGCTTTTTTTTGTTTTTGACACTAGTCATGCTTGGCTGGACAAACTCACTTGTTGCAAGCATAAAACTTGCCACAAAGACCCACAAAAAAGCCGGAAACCAAATGACCTTCTCTCAAAGTCAAATGTAGCTGGTTTTCCAAATGAAAGCAGCTGTTTTTGAATTAACGACGCATGCGCCAAAATGAAAACGAAAGTGAAAGCAATTGCCATCTAATTGGGAACACCTCGCCCCTCTCTCACCCAGCCGACTAGCCAGGAAGTGCTCATCGTGTGTGTGTGTGTTTGTGTGAGTGTGTGTGCTTGGGTGGGTGTGCAAGGCCAAGGGCGAGCTCTGCTAGTTGAATGCACTTTGACTGGGGCAAGTGCCAGTTACTCGACAATATTTAACTAGTCTTTGTTTGACATTAATTTTTATCAGTGTTGCTTTTATATTTTGCATAGCTTACTTTAGATTGTTGTTGTTGTGTTTTTGTGGGTATACACTGAAAATTTATTCACTGGATATTTTTGGCGCCTCAATTTGATTTGAGGTCGTCGACGTTCCGTTCACTTTGCGCGCTCGTTACGAACTGTTTGTGCTCCACGCGAGACTCGTTGGAATTTTGCTGCCGCCGCTGGATTTTGTAGCTGCCGCCGCTGCGCTCTCTGCCGCTGCCGTCGCAATCGCCGCTGCTGCTGCTGCTCTTGCGGCAAAGCAGCTGGCGGCAGGATGAGTGACGAAATGGCCTAAACGGCATTGTGAAACTGCGAGCGAGCGCGAGCCGGCTCAGTAAATGGTCTGCTGCTGCTCTCTCTCTCTCTCTCTCTCTCCCTCCCTCCGTTCCTACCTCGCTCTCTTGCTGGCTCTCCAGAGTTTTTGACTTCATTCCCAACTAACTGGGCCTTAGTCAAGGTGACCTTTGCGTCAATTTTGTTGTTGTTGGGCGTTTCATTTATTTTTAGCAATGCCTCGTGTTTATTTGACTTGGATTTTCCTGGAGCGGCGGGGGAGTTTGCCACGTGTGCAGCTTTTCAAATTGTTCATTTACAATTCCTGCTAAGAAAATGTATCTGGAAGATACTTTGATTTCCATGCATTTGCCTCTGTCGACGGCGTGACAGCAGCTGCATGCGAGTGTGTGTCTGCGTATGTGTTGATCTACAATGTATAATGTTTGGAACCCTGCGTTGCACACGTGCCATTGATCACGTGTGTATCCAGCTAAGCAGAAAGATGAAGAGAGAAATAGTCTCTCTCTCTCTCTCTCTCTCTCTCCCCTTTATTTAAGTTGACCAACTGCCAGCCGTGCAGGAGGCTGCAGGCAGATGTTTCGCGAAATGGCATCCCTTTGTCTTTTAAGATGATGCAAAACGGAAAATTTATATATATTCCTATGGTATATTTAATAGAATATAGTTAAGATAATTCTTTCTCTCGGGTTTGGCCT